TCTAACGCAGATATAAAATCATATTTTCAGCGAATAGACAAAGATAACAATCATATTTCCCCTTGGTCTCCCTCCTCAAATATTTTTAACACCTATTGGCCATTAGTGAGACGAATAGTTCCGATCAGAGATATTTTACATATTCTCTGGTTCCGATCCTAATATACCTAAAAAACTAGAGGTGGGTCCTCCCGTTTTTTAAATTTTTATCGGAACCGTTTTTCGTAAACTGTAACTAGTTGATTCAAATTAGCGAGTACACAAACATATTGGCTATTATCGTTTATGTGTATAAGTATTGAAGTGAAAGAACCTAACGAAGGATATATTTATTATAACTTGAAAAATAAATTAAACAATACAAATAGTACTTACATTTACATTAAATCGTACTTACATTTACATTACACGTTATTATTAAATCGCGAACCGTCTAAATTGACATTTAAAAACAAGTTTTTTCTACTTTTCTTGTTAACTGTGTTCTTTTTATTTAAAATTAAACCAGATTTTAAACATGTGTTCACAAGGAAAAGATTTTGTTACAATTCTACAATATTTTATGAATATAGTGGCTAAGTTAGGATATACATGGCGATGGTTTTTCCACCACGGTAATGGACAGTTCCAATCTCCGTTCGAAATTTATTGTGGGTAATATATTATTAGACAAATACATGTCGACTTCTTGTATATCTCTCGATACAGTTGTATGTTTAGATGAGTCATGTCCAATTAATTCATCAAAAATACACAATGGACTTAAGTCATCTTTATCAGTTTCTTTTTCTTGACTAAACTTATTGATTTACTAAACTTATGCAAAGCCTCGTTTCATCCGTTTTCTATAGGTGAAGAACCAGATTTTAAAAAGTTTGCAGGGTGGATTCCTGGATATAAACCGCCAACAAGAAAAACTGTTAGATTCATTACTTCAGGAATGTTATGTCAAAACTGATTTGATAATAGATAAAAAAAAAGTCCTTTTTTCGACAATTCTGCAAAAAACATTAAAAAAAAGTACCTTATCTTCAGAAAGGCTTAATTACAACATAACAAAGTTCCCAAACGGCCAATCCAAGACGTGGAAACTAGGTAGAACTTCACCTATTACAGGTTAAAAAGAATGACTGAGTTAGAAGAGGCAATCCGTTTCACTTCTTCTTCTTTAAGTTCCATCTTCTATCGAAGGTTGGAAATCATCATGGCTATGCCGACTCTGTTGACTGCCGCTCTAAAAAGGTCTGCACTAATTCATTCAAACCATTCCCTTAAGTTCTTAAGCCAGGATATTCTTCGTCTTCCCACATTTCGCTTTTCTCGGATTTTGCCCTGCATAATAAGTTGTAATAATGCGTATTTTTGCCCTCTCATCACATGTCCCAAGTACTCAAGTTTTCGTCTTTTAATAGTTAATATTATTTCTGCCTCATTTCCTATCCTTCTAGTTACTTCAATGTTTGACATTTTTTGAATCCATGATATTCGTAGGATTCTTCTGTAACACCAAAATTCAAAGGCGGCCAACTTATTCAGATGAACTTGTTTTAGTGTCCAAGCTTTCAGACCATAAAGAAGAGTAGAGAACACGTAACATCGAAGCATTCTCAGGCGTAGTTCTAACCTTATATCCCGACAACAAAGAAACTTTTTAAGTTTAATAAATGATGTACGTGCTATTTCAATACGTTCTTAATTTCTTTGATTTGGTCTACATCTGATGTTATCCATGTTCCTAAGTATTTATAGTTATTAACACTCTAATTGCAGTATCTTCAATAGTCAATTGGATATTTGTGCAGATTTAGTCATGATCATGCATTTAGTTTTCTTTAAATTTATCTTCAGTCCGTACTCATGACAGCGTTCATTAAGGCGTTGCATTAGGTTCTGTAAATCATTGTTGTTATCCGTAATTATTACTGTATCGTCTGCAAAACGTAAGTTATTCAAAACTTCTCCATTGATAGATATACCTTCTATTGAGTCAGAGAGCGCTTCTTAAAATTACCGATCACTGTAGACATTGAAAAGTAGTGGGGACAGCACGCAACCCTGGCGGACTCCTCTCTGTATTTTGATATTTTCGGTGTACTGGCGTGTATTTCCGTTCCACATCGGTATTAAATAATACAGACTTAGACTTAGACCAAATCTAAATAAAAAACACTGGATTATTTGTTCTCAGCTTTCCCAAATTTTACGGCCGTTTAAAGAAATAACAGGTACAATGAGTGACCAAAAATACTTGAAGGGTAGTTCAGTGATTGTTATGGTACGCGGCCTGCATACCATAACAATCTTGCAAGAAAATTTTAGCAAACGGTAACCTTACATCCATAGTATCCGACGTAGTACAATTACTAATATCGGGTTTAGCAAAAATATTTAAAGGGATAGAACAGAGTGGCATATTTCATTATGTACATTTATGGATTCACCATTTAAAGTGCAGGGTTTTTCTGATAAAAATGAAGATAAAAAAATAAAAGAAAAAGTTAAGAAGCTGGTTACTTCTATAATTAACGAACAAGAAGATTGTACTATTGAAAATCAACCAGTACAATCAAATGAAACCAATAAAGATGACTTAAATCCATGGTGTATATTTGATCAATTAATTGGAGATGGCTCATCTACACGTACACCTGTATCGAGAGTCCATTACAACGGTGGAAAAACCATCGCCATGTATATCCTAACTTAACCCCTATATTCATACAGTATTGTAAATGTGAACACATGTTCAAAATCTGGTTTAATTTGGAATAAAAAAAGAAGACGGTTAATAAAAGTAGGTATAGTAGAAAAACTTATGTTTTTTTAATGTCAATTTAGACTATTCGCGATTTAATAATAACGTGTAATGTAAATGTAAGTACGATTTACTATTTGTATTGTTTAGTTTATTTTTCAAGTTATAATAAATATATCATTAGTTTCTTTCACTTCAATAAATATACACATAAACGATAATAGCCATTATGTTTGTTTATGTAGGTACTCTCTTACTTGAAACTACTTTTAAACAATCATAGTTAGTTGTTTACAAAAATTTAAATTTTTAAATTCATTCATTTTTTTTGGAATCCTGAGAAAACTAACAAATATTTTTGAAAAATTTAAATGCAGAATAAAAGATTACATTATTACCGAGGGCCGAAAGTCCCTTAGAATAAACAAAAAGTTTTTTGAATGAGATATTTGAAATTAAAAATCACACTAATTTTTTTTTTCGCCTTTATAACTTATTAAAATAAACATTATAGAAGTTTTCAGGGACTTTTGGCCCTCGGTTATAATGTATTGGTTCATTCTGCGTTTAAATTTTTCAAGAATATTTATTAGTTTTATCAGGATTCGAAAAAAATGAATGCATTTAAAAAATATTAATCGCTCTTACGCTCTTAACGATAAAATTACCACGACCCACCTCTACTACCCGTTACTCGGTATTCTGACCAGACGGACGACGTTGCCAAATAAATTATTGTGCGTGAATATTTTTTAATGTGGTGTTATTGTATGCAGTTTATTATTTCATATTGGGAATAAGGCACAATGTGACTTTAAAATAAGCTTATTTTGATGTTTAGATTTTTAATTCGGAAATCGTACTTAAAATACGAAACATTAATAAATTTTATTTAGGTATATAAAACGATTTCCAAAGTGGAAATCAAAATCTTATATTACACTTATTGTAAAGTAAACTTGTGGCATATTCCCAATAAAAAAAAGAGTAAGCTGCCATTTAAATCAATTTCGCCCAAATTGGATTATCTTAGAACATTGTTCAAATGCAATAAAAAACAACAGGTGAAATAAATCCAATAAGTTTGGCAACGTTGAACTTCCCTTTTTTATTATTTCCCATCGAGCAATAAGACAAAAGAGGGAATGTAAAGGTAGAAGGGGTAAACATATTGATAGACAGGAAGTGCCATCTTGAGAGGCCACTTTAAACAAGAAAGACAGTCTCTTTCCTTGTTTAAAAGTCAAATTTAGTTTGGTTATGTTATTGTTTGTCCCAACTGTCACATGAAATTTTATTTATATTGAAGTTTTTTTACCAATTATGTCACTTTTTAGACTATTATCGTTAATATTTAATTAAAACTTTCTTGTCTGAAAAATATTTTACAGGTATTGTTAACAAGTGTTGGAAAATTTAAATTTAGCGCCTTTGCATTTCCGGATATGTCCGCCATCAGAGGCCACTTTTTTGTTCTCCTTTTCATAACGATTAGATTCCCTCTTTTATCTTTTTGCTCGATGTTATTTCCAGTCGTGCATGTTTGGCGATATAAAAGGCGGACCTAATATATCTCTCTCTTTCTAAACAGCTGTTTCTCACTCCATCTCACGTAAGGTCCATACCGACCATAAAATTTTTCCTACACTGTATATACATATTTATATATAATATTATAATATTCAAATAACTGTCCCAATAATAAATAATAAAATATAAAATATATATATATATATATATTTTTAAATACTATATATAGATAAATCTCATCTCTTTAAACAAAAGATATTGCTTAAAACATTAGTCGTACTTCGTCTTGATAATGAAATAACATTTATTTTTCTAGTTTCCCTTGAAATAAATATATGTATATCATCGTTATCTAAATTTGAAGGATCCTTACTTGTTAAAACTTGTGTCTTTTATCTCATATCATAATTACTACAGCTGATAACACAATTATTATCATAACTTACAAAATAAAAAAAATAGTATAAATACAGTTGTTTGTTAGAAGACATATTAAAGAATATAATTTATGTTGTCAAAGAAAAAAAGATTAATTGTTTATTTATATCAAATTAAAATATAATTATCATTAGATGCGTATGCAGATTTATTATTATCTGAAAGTCATATATTCACAACAATTTGCTAAGTTTGTTGTAAGTGAACTTCACGTATGTTTTTAGTAATATTATGTACTCTTCTACGACGCAATTTTGACAAAATGCATATTTTTCAGAATAAAATGAGCGTTAGTGAAATGCCACTGTCTTCCACAAACAACGATGATCATTTAGAAAAACCTCAGCACCACTGTGCCTGCCCTGACATCACGACAGCCAATGCGACAACAACCGCTTCGAACAAGGATAACTCTGCAGCTTGCCCTATAAACCTCATTCAACGTCCTGAAAGTATGCTCAGCGAAGTTGTATGGAAATATGAAGAAAAATCGTGCGAAAAATGTCATGGTAATAATATGGCATGGAGTAACAGTGATTGGTCTTCTTGTAATAAGGGGCAGGTCGATTCTGATTGGGATGAAAATGGATTGAGAAGTATCTGGAGTGGAGGAGAGGTAAATATATTGATTTTTTACTATAAATAATAAGACAAGTTTTGAGAAAAAATTGATAAGCTTGTTTAATGAAATATAAATTTTGTTGAAAACCAAAATGCTAGTGATTAATTTTTGAAAAAATATTTTTCTTTTTTGAATGAATATATTATTGAATGTTTCGAATTTTCATTTTTCTTAAAATTTTATGTATTTTTTAAATAGCAGACAGTATTTTTCCAGTTAACTGATTAGTCAGTATCGTTATGTACATCTTTTTCACTGAACATTTGTTGAATTTATGTTTGTTTTCCTTTTCAAAAATAAATTAATAAATTTTGTCCCATAACATATAGCAAATAATAGGAGTTTTCTCCATTTTATAGTAGTCAATTGAAGAGTGGCCGAGCTTAGTGATCTAAGTGATTTAAAAATAAAATAAATCCATTACAGATAATTATTTTTGTTTTACACCAAATTGTGTTTTTATAGATTTGTCAGAATTGTTTGGTCCTAAATGGTTCTAACCTACCCCGGCCTGCCCCTAATCATCAGCTTCGCGAAGACATCAGCCAAGACGGCGAACAGCTTCTCTCCGATTTAAGTACCATACAGAAGTGCTACATGGACGATCTACCGGTCGTCGCTGAACGCTCCTTGGATATCTCTGAACTGCTCTCGTCCGGCGTCGTTCCGAAAGAACGCAAAAGAAGGCACTCACTCATCGTTGACCACAATCCTGACACGTGGAGTTTTGCTTCGCGTATCGAAGAAGATTGTCTCATGCAATTGGCAACTTTGCCAGCCCTGAGAGCCGTAACACTGTAAGAAAAATACGGTAGGTTGGGTGATTTATGATAAAATCGGGAAAAGAAATAAAATTATTGATATGTGGTGGCATTTGACAGAATCTTGGTAGGTGGTCCAACGTTTTCATTAATATTTGTTTACTTTGGTTCTTAAGATCTTGATTATTACCATGAAAAGTGTAATACATTTATTTAAAAACGATACATAATTTTCATTTACATGCTGAGGCATAATTAACTTTTCATTACTGTTAACGTGTAAATAATATCAAAGAAAGTTGTATGAAACAACTACTTACAAAATTATTTTCTGAGCATAGACTAACGGAGTATCTCGTGACAACAACATCAGTATCGTTGCAGTAACGGAAGTATCATTGACGCCATTTTCACGAGCATTTCAGGGTTTTCATGGCGCTGAAAAAACTGTTGGCACACATTCTGCTTCCGAGGGGTATTAATGTATTTTATATAGACAAAAGACACTCGAAAATAATTTTACAGTTTATATATAATATGTATATACTTGGTCGACAAGGATCCTTGTTGGAGGGTTATCGGTCACAAAAGGTGAGAAGAGAACAAGAATCTTGCTACTTCATCTTTTAATGAATCGTGTATAAATCCCTACACGTCATCAGTTAAATCTAATCTCAACGCCGAGAAAAGTCAGTTAGTCTTAAAAGCCATAGACAAAATTTCTCACTTTCAAGAAATCATTGTCACATTTGACTTGTGACATAATTAATGCGGTAATTTCAAAATTAGAAACACACTGGGGGTGGCATCACAAGTAATGACAGTTGACAGTAATTGTGATATATGAAATAGTCCGCTACTTTCCATATGATGGTTATCATATGGAAACATAACGCCAATATCAATTGTAGTAGTAAGATTGTTTTCTTCTCCACTTTTGTTATTGATAACCCTCTCACAAGTATTTTTGTGAACCAAATATTTTATTTGAATTGACAGTCTACTCTTTTTTTCGATATAAGTTTTCCGTATTTCATAAACCTACTCATTATGATACGACTATACACAATTCATCATCCCATCCTACACAACATAAATTGGCAGCCCACCATAGCATGTTACATAGATTTATAGAAATTCCGATGTCAAAAATACAACTTTGAGATAGAATTGAATATCATTAATATCAGTAAACAATGGGTACAACGAACAATCATTTAATAAAATTTTAAATCAAAAACTACATAAGAAAGCATCAAGCAGAGAAAGCTGGAGTATTTCGGACATTTCGGACGAGATTGGTATGGTGGTTGATACAAGCATGCTATTTAGGGTGGCAGTGAATAAAATTAAGATAGCTATGATGGTAACCAATGTTCTGAAAGGACATGGTACATGAAGAAGAAGACATAAGAAAGCCCTGAAATTAGTATTTCCGCCACCAGAGAAAAAACCCAGTACCTTCTGCTCGATTACATATATGTACAGGCAAGATATCAACAAAATTAGGCAAATATATTAAAAACAAGAGCCAAAATAAAAGTAATCACACAGTGGTGTATACAAACTTAAATGGGGCGACTGTGAAAAAACTTACATCGGTCAAACTGGTAGAACTTTTAACAAACGTATAACAGAACATAAATACAGTTATAAATAAAAGGAAAATAGAACGAAATATTAGAAAAATACTAAAATATGTATGAATAAAAAGGAAAAATTGAATATAGTCCATTCGCTCAGCTTGGGAATATTTTGACACATTTATTGTCGAAAACATACAACACAAAAATCCGTAGTTCTCACTGTTAATAGCTCAAATAAACTTACTGTTGCAGACTTTTCATTGAAAAAAGAAGAATAACATCAATAATGCGGTGTATACTCATTAATTTGTAGAAACTAATCTCTAAACGACTATAAAATTTCAAAAATAAACTTTTTAATAGATGCAGTTTTATTTTGTTAAACTGCATGTGAATATGTTTTTGTTTACATATTGGCTATGAGCACATGTGCTTGATTGTATAGTAATTTTGCATTGTAGTAATAAATAATTATTAACTTTACTAGACAGTTTGGGAGTGGAATAAGCGAACCGAGTATACTTGACTTAAGTGTAATGCTAATACTATCACTTAAGTAAAGTTTGTTTAGCAGAAAATGGTTGACTTCAATTAGTGAGGTGGTAAATATTATTAAATTTGTCTGACTTGGCCTAGTGTTAAGACCTTGTACCTCAGGCAAACCATTGTTATCTGAAACCGGGCCTTTTATACTATTATTGGTTAACCCAGAATGTTTATATTCGGTACTAATTGAAGTCCATTTACTGCTAAACAAACTTTACTTAAATAATGAACACATAATTAATAATTATTTTCAACAAACTCACTTTATAGATAAAAGTATACCATATTTGTAAAAGACGGTACACTTTTTAAATTAGAAATACAGAATTTCAGGATGACTCGGCGCAAAAGAAGCCCAACTTTTAATTACACTTTTATTACAATTTAATATTATTGCAAGTCATTATGTCAATTTGCTAATAGATGATCTTAGGCGAATTTATTGTAATAGCAATAGTTCGATAATTATTTAAAGTTTATAGAAAAGCAATGAAATAATGTGTTCAAAGATTATGTATTATTTAATTAATAACTTTAATTAATAATAATACAAAATATAACATGAAAATTTCAGTAGAATATAAATTTTAAAGTACGATTTTTGTTTGGACACAATTTTATATACAATTCCAAATTATTAGTTCTATATATGAGTTTAGTTATTATAATAAACGTTTATAAGCGTTTTACTTGTTTATATAAATAAATGTGATAGTTTTGAGAAGTGTTGTAACCACACCAAGTAACATACACCAGTAACTTTTCCCGGATTTTTCATAACGTCTCCCGATCTTAAGGTTAGATTTTGGCTTTGGATTTTAAGCGGCATCCGATATCGTGGTACGTCGTCGAAACGGCGTCTAAAAGATAACTGCCAAATTTGTTTCAGTGCAGAATGTAGGAGCTCTTGTTAGGGAACAAGAATGCTCGGTACAACACGATCTGGTATGCCGCACATGCTCTTTGCTTATACATATTTATTATATAGAAAAAGTTGTGAAAAGGCTCCACAGGGAAGCCCTATGGCTTTGTTATGTTGTGCATATTTATAGATAAAACTGATTCAAGCGAGAATACTTGAGGTACTGGGAGGCCGTTCCGTTTTCAATGTTTTATTTTTGTTTTTTGTTATTTTTGATGGATCGCCTCCCTTCTACTGCAGATTAAAATGTAGGTGGATAACGAAGATTTTTTGTTAAAAAGTATGGTCTATACTTTTAATTTGTTAAGTGTATATTTGTCCTTTCCCTTATCCCATTCCCGATTCCTACAGTCCCTTGATAGTGCAAGATGTCGGTCTGGAAAAGAAGATGCAACGAATCGGACTTAGCAATGCTGGTAGTTCAAAGTAGTTTTTAATAACAATGAATTAAATGCAGATATTATGTATATATAAGTTACGAAACACGAAATAAAATACCACAGTGTGCCTATATTCTAAAGTTTTATGTATAATTCCTACATACACGTTTAAAAACTTAATGTAAAAAGTATTTTCTTTATATAATCAAAACGAATCAATTCTTATACCTTATCATAGCATTATAAATTTATGCTGGATCCTACAGATTTAACTAAATGTATATTTTTCGTATACTTTAGATTTTAAACATACAAAATGTTTAAATGAGCCTTAACAATTTTAACAAATTTGCTAAAGTAACAAATGTAATATTGCATTGAAATGTTGTAGAAAAAATATCTCAATGTTTCTGTGATGTTACAGAACGATTCCTGAACATGTTCTTTTCCAGACCGACCTCAAAACATCAAATAGGTATTTTATTTAGGCATTCAAATTATTTTTTGGTGTTAAATTGTTTCAAAATTTTTCTCAGTTTTTTTTTTAAATCACACCGACTGTTTTAGTTTTCTTTTTCTGTTGTATATATAGTTTATTGTTAAATTTTTGTTCAGATTTTTAGCGAAATCAGATTTCCCGGTGTGATACATTGATTGTTTTTGAGGTGATTATTTAATCATCTTTGTAACTTTTAGATCTGCCAATAATTACTAATGAGAAAAAACACACTGTAAATGCACTAAAACGACTTCTTTAGAGGCAGGTCTACCATCTTAACGTATTTTACAGTTGACGTGTTTTTTTCGCTATTATACGGAAAGTTTTTTTTTGTATTTAGGTGTTTTACATTATAGCATAGATCTTTTATTTCAACAAATAGATACAAAACACCTTGTCGACTAGTTCGGACAGACAAAAAATAATAGAGTGGTTTCAAGTCTAATCAAAAAATTTGTTAAAAAAAAACAACCAAAAAAATGTTTTCGCTGATAACCTCTCCTTTTAGTGGTATTTATCCAATAGGTACTTGGACTTTAATTTAAGACAGTTTATTAATCAAAAACTGAACAGAAGATTTTATCAAGAATATAATAGTGTATATAGTTTAACAGTTTAAACAGCACAATGCTCAATATCAATTTGTTTTCCTGTTCAGTTTTAATTTACTTTTATGTATATTATACTAGCTGGAAAAGGTTCTTATTTCATAAGGTGGTTTCTTTTTTAAGCTTTTTTAAGTATTCTGTGTGCGTATACACATGCACCATATCCGTGAATCAGACGCCGTCTAGAATTTCTGTGAATCGCCCTTTTTAGCGGCGTTCGTTAAGTAAATAGTAATAAACAAATAATACTAACAGTTAGCCGTAAGTAATACTTCACACTACGCCACTGAATGCATGCCTACCTTTCGGCCGGTACGCTGTAACCGGTAATCGGTAACGACGCGAAAATGCGTCATTTCGTGCATCTTACGAGATCTCTCCATAATAGGCGTTTGATGTAATTCTGATTTGGTACAATATTCGGTCGGCATTAAAGGGAACGAATTGCTGTTTGATTTTAGCTTCTTTATCATCTAGCTCGATACTTATAAGATAAGCGTCGACGTAGGATTTGCGGACTTGTTGCGTCTATATGCGTACATTTATTGCTGCCGAATTATCTGATTTCATTGGCCTCTTAGTGTAAAAATATTAAACGTATTTTTGGCACTACAAGAAACTATCGATAAAAGTTTGCAAACAATATCTTAGCGGTGCGATTTACGATTGCACCT